TGTCTTGGATTCTCAGCGGCGCGTCGATCATCGATACAATCAATAAACCTGATTGTGAATCACTTAGCGGCGTTGCTCATCGTGTCGGCTGGTTCCGATTACGTAGGAGGTCGGAGTTGGTGTAAAGGATCAGAATGAATATATATATATATAACACATATGAAATAAGAAAGAGAAAGAGAGAAACAGAAAGATAGGAAAAGGGAGAGAGAAAGAGAGAGAGAGAGAGAAGGAGGGGTTGGTCAGGACCCATTAGGCTAATCCCTCGTCGGCGGCCTCGGCCAAAGGAATGAGAAGGAATGAGAAAGCCACAGGCTACGTGTCATTCCTGCTCGCTTGCCGACACCTATACTCGACCGACACCTTCGTGGCCGAGCTGTACGAGTATATCCGCTCAGAGGTGCTCCCTATCACGACCGTTCTCTCGTATTTCTTCAACGTCCACGGTTGAAATTCGTTCGTTCGTTGTCCTTTCTGTTCTTTAGAACGAGACACTTTATTCGATCTTGAGACAGAGTGGTTATAGATGATATATAAATTTTTAATTTGAGAAAAATTAAGTTTCTTTGCTGAGTTGTAGTAAAGCTTTAGATGATAATCTAATCGAATTCATTGTGAAGGAAAAGTAGATTTAATTGAATTTTTAATTAAACAGAGTAAAATTTCTTCCTGTCAAACATGCTGTGTTAGAGATGATAGTTTTAGGTCTTGTGTGATGGTTTAAATGAGGAATTAATTAGTAAAAAGAAAAATTAAGGATCAATTGGAATTTCTTTATTTGAAACTCGAAACTATTTGTGGTAGTTTTAGATAAAGGATTGATTATTAAAACAAAAGTGAAAAAATTATCTTTAAATTTGACAAACTAAAAAATTTTATAGTTTGTATTACTTTTGTTTTGACAACATTTATATTTATATATTATATATAAATATTTGTTATAATATAAAACTTATTAATGTTGGTACATGATCTTATTTCATCTTTAATTCATCTTTTAATAATAATAAGCATATTTTTATTGATATTTTAAAAATTATTTTCAACTCGTGATATATATACGAAAAGCAACGGGTAAGATTTGATCCTTGGGCCATAGTTTGCCGATATATGCTTCTTGAAACCTATCATCAGAGGAAATCACCTTAAAACAACATTTGCTTCAAAATGTTTGAAGTTTTGCTTATAATAGCTTTTAAAGATTAAAAATAATATTTTAAAGAAATTTCAATATTATTCCAAATTCCACATTATTAGACACAATTTTTCCATAAATTTATATTAGAAAACAAACAAACAACTTAACATTTTGCATTAAAAATTGTTTGGAAAATTGTGAATCGAATAAATTCAATTATTCTCGTCATATATTTATTTAAAATCAGATGTGTAATGATTGTTCCAACCCCAGTTACTATTATAATAATTACAATCTTGTGCTCTTGTAAGATCTCGATCCACGATGAAAAATGTTTGATGGATTAACTTTTAATTAAAAGATATTAAGCATTAACGACGATCGTTATGCGGGGTCGATGAATGCTTGAGCACGGTCTATGCCGATGGATATCTCTAATTGAGGGGTTCAGTTTTAAAACGGCCGGCAACACTTGGGGAATGCTTTAAGAACAGCCCTCGACTTTACACCTGTCCCGTTTCACATTTTATTAATATTCTGTTGTTATCTTGATATTCTTGAATCTAATTATCATACTTTGGCATTGATTGTAACATATTTTTGTAAAATATTCGTGTCATTTAGATAATCGATAAGTATTATCCGTATCACAATATTACATCATTTCACTCGTTGATATTCCGAAAAAATTATGAACGAATAATAAATCTGAATATATGGGAAATTCAATCAAATTTTTCCAAAATAACAACGATCAATTACAATTTCTTACAATGACGATTAAAATTTGTTAAACTTTTCAACAAGCATCTTTCAATTACATAATTTAACGTATACTTTAATTTATCGTGTAAAATTTAATCTACATTTCTTAGATGTCCCCTGCTTCCAACAATAATACTATGGTGACAATCTCATTCAAATTCCTTAATGCCAGGATTACGAGTCTTACCATTATCACGATGGAATAGCACATACATTTTCATGTTGGCATAAAATATACGAAAAGTCACTACTTTGAAGACATTCGTGAGTCATTATGTAAAATTACTTTCTATTTAAACTCATCACTACCATATTAACAAGTTTACTATCAAGCATAATAGATAATGCAAGAACCTATAGAACTTTTCCATTTGTCCATCGTCTAATTTTCATCCATATATTCACCCTTCCCCAAATACCTCCTTCACACCCACACAATAGATAATTCGACGATAAAAATCCCATTGTCTTTCCATTTCGTATCAAAAGTAAAAAAAAAAAAAAAAAAAAGAAAAAAAAAACCTTAAAGTTACTCATCAATAGACCTCAACGTGTCACGATGCAATGGGGGGGTCCATAAATGAGCACCACTGTCGACGTGTGGCAGGCGGCCCGTTTGATCTCCGCGGGACCCTTGCAGGGCCCACGGTCCCTTTGCCTCCTCGCCTCTTTCCTCGCATTCCCCGAGATCCACGATCGAAGGATCTATCCGTCCTCCTCCCACTCCCTCCCCCTTGGGCCCACTTCCCCTCTCTCCCTCCCTCTCTAAAAATAAACGCGCGTCTCACCAATATATTCCCATCTCCGTCAGTTTCGTCGACCGCCTTTCGTTTCTCTCATCCTCTTCCCGTTTCCTCCCCCGCTCGCGCAGACTATTTTTATTTATGAGACCCCTCATCCCCCTCCTCATCGAATTCTCTCTCTCTCTCTCTCTCTCTCTCTCTCTCTCTCTCTCTCACTCTCTCTTTCTCTGCCCCCTTCTTGACCGCGGCAACGCGCCAGAACGGTCAGACTTTTTAAGACTTCGGAACACCTGTACCGCTAATTCCTCCTTGTCTACCTGTATCACTCACGAAAACAAATTCCCGCCTCGTGTCAACGGGCAGTGACTCGTTGTCGCTTAGCAATCGGGATCGTGTTGTTCGATGGTTGTTGAGGAATTTTTATCGACGGGGAATGGTGAATTGTTTAGATAAATTTTAACGATTTTTCAGGATTAATAGTGACTTTTTTCGACACTTGAAATTTTTATCGAACGAATATTGAATGTTGTATCGGATTTGTTGGTGATAGATATTATTTATTTCTTTTTTTGAAATAGAATTTTTGGTTGATTAGGAAATAGAGTAGATAGTTTCTAGCTCTTCTTGATGATTAGTAATTGATCTTTCTAGTAATGGTAGATTCATGAATTTATTCTAATATTAGATTGTTTAATAATAATATGTTTAGAAATTGATATTAGCTTTTTTAATATAGACTGGTTTTTTGATAGCTATTCAGAAAGAAATTTTTGTTATTATCGTATTGGGGAATATTTGTTTGGATAATTTTTTTATTTTATTTCATAAATGATGTTATATAACCTCTTTGATGTAGGTTATTTTTTATGACAGCATATAAAACCATCAATGGCTCCATGATGTTATATAATTTAACCTTTAGAGAACGCTATTTATCCTATTGTTATTTTTTTCCTCGGAATTGAACACGGCAATTTAAAATTAGATAATTTTCAATTAATTTAAATTCAACGTATAACACAAATTTCTTCTCTAGAGATACTATAAATAAACTGATAATAATGATAATAATAAAAAATAAATTTCACTTGTCCATTCCTCATCATTTTATCATCTCATTCACCGAATACTCTCTGTTCCATTTAAAAAACAAAAAAGAAAGAAAAAAAAAAAAAATAAATTCTTCGCAAGAATTCAAGAAGGAAGTCACTAAAAAGGGAGGGTCCATTCCGATGCCCGCGGAATGAAATGAGAAAAAGGGAAACGAGAAGACTAAGGAAACGAGAACAACAAGACAAGAAGGAGAAGAAGAAGGAGAAGAGGGATAATGCGTGCCCCGTAAGATATTGACACTCCTGTAATCCGTTTGTCGGACGTGTGGGCAACCTGGCTAATCCTGCTCACGCCCACCGAAGATTAAATCCTGAAGGCTTCCCGGCTCATTCGGACTAACGTTCGCCTAACCGACGATGTAGGATCGGACTTAAAGTCCCGTACACACGCTCGCGTACGTCAAACTTCGTTCTCAGATACGAGAGGTTAAAAGCTCTTGCCTCCCCGACGATGGATCCCTTCCTCTTCTTTCCTTTTTTTTTTTTTTTTCCGTCTTTCGCTCGCGATATCGCCTTTCTTTTTCTTTTGCCGCACTCGTGATCGTTTCTTGGCCTTCGTTTCTATTCACTCGCGTTTTTTCACCCCCGTGGGAATGAATAATTAAGGCGATGATGCGAAGACGTCGTGCGACGTCGTCGAAGAGATGAAGAAGAGAACGGTGACGTTTGGGTTTCTCAGTTATGTGTTTTGGGACGCTGTGGAATTTTTAAGGTACGTTTTTGTTTGAGTGAGAAATTTTTCGTTTTATTGTTATAATAAGATGTTTTTCTAAAAGTTAATTTGAAAATTTTTGGAAAAGTATGTTAAAATTTTTGATAATTGTTTTATGTTTCTTTTTTATACAGATTGTTGAAGTGTAGAATAAAAAATGGTGAGACTAATTGTTGGGATTCAATGGTTTGGAAGTTGTTCATATGTGAAATTACGAATTTTTGAGGCCATGTTAGATTTTTATTCAACTGGACGATGGAGATTCGATTGGACGATGAAATGCGCGCCAAATTTAAATCATTTTTCGGATAATTTTTTGTATTATTATAGGATTAAATTAAATCATATATCAGAATAACTAATCGATAGTTTTAATAACAGAAGTTTGAAAAAATACTAGGCAATAAATTTGTGGAGAAACATTAACAAAAAGTTTTCTCGTTGTCTTAATCAAGATATTAATTGTCGAATAATGGTTCGATATTAATTTGTAAAATTATAATTTGTAAAATTTGTCATTCTGTACTCACCCCCGCCTAATATTCCATCGATGGTGTAATCTTTTTTTCCATCGTCACCAGGTCGTCCACCACGAAGTAATCTGCTGATGGAACTGACACTTGGAGGATCCGTGAAACCTTCCTGTTCAAACGAAATATCCATGTAAAAAGAATTCTATAACTCTTTCAAAACTCATTTTTTGGATTAACGTTTATTTAACTGGATCAGAAATATATCTGGCCAAAAATAAATTTTTAAAAAACCAAAGGATGCTTCTTTCACTTTCCTACTTAATAACGTTGTTCAAATTTTCTTGCTTATTAATTAGAAAAATTCAAAGCAATATTAGAAAAGTATATAAAATAATTAATAATTAATATTAATCTTCCTGCTTTCGTCTTTAAACAGGTGTTATTTTTTTAAACTATTAAATCTCTTTTAGAAATAGAAGAAAAAAACATATGTGGAGACAACACGAGTTCGCTGCCGGCGCATCGTAGGTTGCACTTTGCCTGGCATTTGCGATTTGCAAATGCACCCTACTGCACTACAATTTCGCGCGATCATTTTCAAAGTAAAATATACATTTTGCGCCGCTGAGATTCAGCGTTATTATACATCGTGTTGTGCACCGTTATGCGCAAGTATTTACTACGCTTGAATTCTTCGATAATACGGTTAGGTAGATCGCGAAGTCTTTTTGTCTATTTCCTTTTTCTTTCTTTTATTTTTGCGTGCGAGAAACTGAATAGATTTGCTCGAAAAAGTTGACAACATGAATAGTTTCGAAATTGTATACGCGTCTCGAATTCTGGACAAATTTATTAGCATTTTCTATTGTTGAGTGCAGTTGTTTTGGTTAACAGTGAAGAGAATGAAGAAATCGTTGATATTTAGAAGGAAAGATTATATTTAGGTTTGGAACATAAGTTGATACGTTTGTGAAATTTATAAATTTTTAGATAAGTTTATTGTAGATAGAGTTTTAACATTGAAAGTGTATTGAATTTTATCGAAAAATTTTTCAAAACAAATATTACGTAAAATTTAAAAATTGTAAGAGACTTTTATCTTGGAATTATAAACAAACATTGAATGTTAACTTTGCAGTAGACTTTGAATTAATAGAAAAATATTACGAATAAGGAATTTTCTATATGTTTATTCTTCGTTTTTCATAGTTATTATTCATATTTCAATCTCAAATAATTTAAAATATTCTTGTAAATTATATATATCTATAATTACGTTTATCTATGTTTCGAGATTTGAGAATTTGAAATTTTTCCAAGAATATTTCTTGAAACTGTACAATCATTTGCAAAATAAATGCATTTTTTTTTGTCAATTGCACAACACAAAAGATATTATACTCAATACTGGAATTCAATTAGATCTAATAAATGTTTTACGAGCACCGAGAAAATTAAATGAACTAAAAAAATTCGTAAAAACAAATTAATATTCTAATTGCATCGCTACTGGTCTATATTTCATAAATCATAAATGTCAATAAAGCAAAAATATACATACAATAAAATAGAAACCAATTAAATATGGAACTAATTAATAATAGCAATGAAAAAATCCAAAATCCGCACCTACAGTTAAAAATCTAATCTAATCAATTGTTAATTAAAAAAAAATACCTTCATTTCTTCATCAATGATAAATTTCACAATTCATTATATCACCTGAAAATCTGTGAAAATCTCCAATCTTTACATCTCCTCTTATCCCTCCCCCTTTATCTCATCGACCAATCACTCTTCGATCATCAGATAAATTTTAACATTTTATCCCGATAAAAGAGAGCTCGAGAGAGAATCGAGAAAATCGATGGTGGCAAACTACCTATCAGAAAAGTCAAAAGAAACAAAAAAAAAAAAAACAAAAAAGAAACAAAATATAGAAAAATCCCTCCAGGATGGAGACGAAAGAATCGTGTCTCTACGCGTTCGACGAGGATCAAAGAAAGAAAAAAAAAAAAAAGAAAAAGGAGGCACGCCTGACGAGAGATAAAAGTGGACCAACTCGGGCTACAGTGACTTGAGAGGGGGTGGAAGAAGTGGAAAAAAAAGGGGGTCGTCGGTGTCGATGGCTATCTTTCGGATCGGCGATCTCAGAAACAATAACGATCCTTGTGCCCGTTGGTGGCGGCCGAGGCTTTGGGTCCAGGGCGATGACAGCAGCGAGAAAGACGGACCTCTCTGTCGGTTAACGCGAGGAGAACGGCGCTGGTGTGGTGGATAGAGGAGGATGGATGCCGCCCCGGGTCCTACGGGCCCAGGAACGCCCCCTTCCAACATTAAATGCCGTATTAATGCCGGCCACGACCGCCTTGCTTCCACGACTCTCTCTGCAACGGCGTACGCGTTCACGAAACCGTTTTTCCTCTTTCGTCCTCCGCCTCTCCGCTTGCCTCCACGCGCGGCCTCTTGTGCCCTTCTACGCCCCTCTTTGTCTTTCCCGCGCCTCGAGACGGAGCGTACCTCTCCTCTTCCAGCCTCCAACGATTTATCTCTTTATCGAGGATCGGCTTTGGGGTTGTACCACGTGGATCGGTTCCATCGTGGATCGGTTTTATCGGTTCTATTGGTTTTATTGGATCCCTGTTGATTTTGTTGGGATCGATCGTCGGTGGCCGATCGTTGATACGAATTTCGAAGAGGGTGGAGAGGGTGTGGAGCCAAAATTTTAACATCGAGAATTTATAGGGTTTTCACGAGATGCGCGTATGATTATTTAGATTGATACTATGAACGAATTTTGTTGCTTTATTCATATGTAAATAATGGGGAAATAATGGGACGATGAAAGCAAGACGCAGCTGTCCATTGGTGCAGGACATGTGCCTTTTATTTTTTACTTTATTAAATTTCATGTTGGTACCAAGTATTATAGAATTTTTGTATCAAATATGTAATCTATCTACTGTTGTAAATAAGACTGTACTTTTCACTTTTTTCCCCAATATTCTTATCATTAAATTTTATTAATCATGATTTTAAAGGAATGAAATCCACGATGATCCTTTATTCTTCGTCATGGAAGAGATATATCAAAATTTATTTCGTAACTGTTATCCAAATATCTTGATCAAAGCTTATAGAAATTGGATTTGATTTATAATTAAATTAAAACTGGTGATAACAACAAACAATAACCGCCTTTTGTTCAATAGAAAATTAATAAAATCTACTTCTAAAAATAAAATAAAGTTTTTTAACAATTAGGAAAGTTTAATTAGAAATCTTCAATTTTAATTCTTCAAGTAAAAATTCTTTCAAACAATTTCAATTACAACACGATCTTTACTGTCTCCACTGTCTTCCCCTTTAAGAAGAGATGATTAACAGCTCGTGCATCTTGTTCACGCCTTTCCATTATCACAATTTTTCTAATCGCCTATCGAGCATCCATCCATCCTCAGGAAATTATTATCCTGAGCGAGTGTTTCAGCCGTATCCGTGGTTGTTCCCTTGGCCGATGTTTACGATTTTTCAAGGTGTCGAGATAAAACGGCCGTACACGGAAGAAGGCTATTCTTGGAAAAGTCGTTTTGCATACTCGAAAATCGCGGCACGAACGAGGGAGCGTTACGCCAATGAGGCGTGGGTGTAGGCGGCGGCCAGTAACGTATTAAAGGACACGCGAGTCGCCTCGGGGCGCTCACGTACACCCCTGCCCACCTTGTGCACGCCTCGTGCACAAGATTAAAAAGCCCCACTCACTCGCGATCTTTCGAGAGATATGGGGACCCTGCGGAAACGTCCACCCCCGATCGAGAGGGTGACGACGCCCTTCGATGTTTTCCTCAAATGGAAAACTCCACCCTCGAAATTTATCTGGTTGGAGAGAAAATTACGACAATTTTTTGAATTTGATAAGTACGTGATTAAGAATATTTATGCAAAATTTGAATGTTGTAAAAATTTACGGAGAATGTACATGAGATGGAAGAAGATGTAAGATATTCAAAGGAATCGAAGTGAATATTTTATTTTTGTTTAAAATTTAAGTATCAATGTTAGATTGCAATTGAATGTAATAATATTGAACGATGATATTTTTCGATGTTTCTCTGCAAAGTGAAAAATTAATAACTGGTTAAGAGAGATATGACAGTTTTTGAATTTGGATACTTATGCATTTATATTTTAAAAACGTATAGAGTATGCTTTAAAAATATTTCGATATTTAGAGGCTGAATCAAATTTTTCCTTTCTAATCGTGGCAATGCAATTTTCAGTTTTATCAAATTTTCGCGATTGAATTATATAAATTTCGATTTGATGATGGCACATCAAGATCTTATATCTTTAGTAACATATCTAAATGATTGTAGTGTTTTTTAAAATAGTCTCAAAATAGTTTTATAGTATAAAATAAAATGAAATCAATATAGATCAATGTAGAAATAAATAGTGTTAAAAATATGTTTTTCAAAAATGTACCTATCTTATATTAATTCCCTTATATTAAATTGAAAAGATATTACATGGAATAATAATAATATATATATATAAAGGATTATTATATATATCTACGTAAGATTTCAAGAAAAATCATCAGTTTCTTACCTTCACCAGTTTTTCCCTTATTTCCCATGAGAAAATTCCAGGATTGTCCCTTTTCATCTCCTCTATCCTCGCCTCGATCTCAGGGGTGGCTACCCTCGGCTTACTGCCACCAATCACTCCCGGTCTTATGGAACCGGTCTCCTGGTACCGATTCAAAATTTTCGAAACGCATCCGTGAGAAACGCGAAGCTGCCGCGAGATCACGCAGGGACGAACACCAGCCGCTGCCATTTCGACGATTTTCAGCCGTATGTGATTCGGAAGAGGTCGGCCGTTGATGAAAACGCCTCCCAATTGATTCATACGTCCCTGTCCTGTCGGGAACATTTCATCAGTCTTTATGCATTCGATTCGTGGAACGTGAACGTCTCAATCAGGGATTGGATACAGATCATAGTTTCAAGTTTCGATATTACCTACAGTAGGTAATCGATCATTCGATCGTTGGTTACTTCAATTTTTTTTTTTATTATTATTGAAAAATATTATTTTATTTTTTATTATTGTTCGTATAGTAAGAGAGATATTTGAAGTATCTATGTATCTATATATATTTGAAAAAAGAAATAATGATTATAAGTTTCGTGTCGATGATAACGATCCATCGATCTTTGTAAAATTTACTTTGGAACGTGTTTGTTTGTTACTTTTGAAAGGATTAAAGATATTGGTGATACTATTATGTTTAAATGCAATGTAATTGCTATAAGATATTATTTTAAAAATATCATAGAATTTACATATATCACATTTATATTTATATATATCATTTATAAGTGCAAGTTACTTCCTATCAATGTTTCATAATTTATTATTAGATTACGAGATAATAGCATGGTAGATGGTACTGGCTTTTACTCCTATTATAAAATCATTTTTTTTTCCAATTACTTTTCATTAATAGCGGGATAATAACTTTTCTGAAATAACGGGATTATTTTTATACAGATTAGACTTCAAGCGTTTAAGATCATTTCTAATCAAACAATTTCCTGGTTTATTATAATACGTGTTATTCCAAGTCAAATTAATTAATTAATTTTGCTTTACGTACATGACAATTGTAGTATGTCTTAACTTTTTTTGAGACTACTAAGATATTATAATCTATACATTTGTAACATAGATACTTATATTTAGATTTTAAACTTGTTACAATTTTTTTGATTAGTACAGAAACAGATTTATCGAGACATACTAGATATTCTATTAGAAATGAGATTAATTCCGCTTTGAAAAAAATGATTATACAAAAATTTATAAAAAATATAAAAGCTATAATATGCATTACAATATCTGAAGAATAATGTAAATCTCTGTTTAAACTTCATTTCTTTCAGTTCATAGTCATATTCATAAAAATATATTGATATCCAACAAAAATCATTATATATATATATATATATATTCCAAAAGAAAAATCTGTTTCAAAAGAATTAAGTAAGATTTCAAAATATCTTCTTTGAAGAACACTTATTTATCTTAGAAAGAGAAAAAAAAAATAAAGAAACGAGATTCGAATGCTATTGATCTGAAACTAAATAATTAATTGAAAAACATCGTCACATCTATATTTCAACCGAGATCATTCGAATTTATTTAAAATTCTGGTTCTATCACAGATTCAATTTCATTATCGAGCAGTTTTTCTTGTCAAAAGAGAAAATTAATTGAAAAGTGAAGGCTCGATCATAAACCGTCAATGACAAAAGTTTGATGAACGAGTCTAATAGCTTGAGATCCTATTACAGAGAAGATTAATAGACATACAAATTAATCCGTTCCGATTCCTCATAGAGATCGTGCGTAGATTTCCTCTAAGGTAAAATAATATTCAATTACAACTAAGCAGAGGATAGATCTAAGAGGATTGAGAAAGAGACGAGGAATCGATGAGAAAATAACATGATTTTGTTACAAGAGTGTTCCTGAAATGTCTCAAAATTTTCGAATACTTTGAAATTTTGCTATATAACTCATGCTATAGTTTATAAAAATCAATTATGCATTCAAATGTTTAAAAAAGCTTAAAGCACGTTAACGAGAGGGCAATTGTACTTATCGATAATTACATTTAATTTATATTTAATCAAGAAAGACGAGGCAGAAAGAAAGCGATATAAAACTTCAAATTTGTCAATGATATTACGAAATGTCAGACAATATTATTAATTATCAAATGATGATCAAAATAGGAAGGCATTTAATGTTTTATTTGAGGATAATATTTTCCACTAATCTTTGTATCGTAACAATAAATGCATCGAGAAAAGCTGAAAGATAGGGAAGTATGTGTCTCTTATGTCACAGGATGAAAGTTAGTAGGGTTGTGCAACGGATTGCGCAAATGATGGGTTTCTAATACCCGACGCTGGCGAGTTTACTCTATTCGCATACGTACGAGCGGTGAAAAAGCCTGCTGCTAAAATATTGTTGCTACGAAAGCCTGTGTTGAGAAATCGGACAATTCCTGGAGCAAAGGACTTGCATATCAATCGTGAGATTGTTGGCTATGTGGTTCATTTGAGGAATAAACAATGCCTAGGTGCAATTTTGAATCCCGATGGATAATTTGGATTAGATAATAGGAGAAATTCTGATTTAAAATCGATTATTCTTATCAATTTCGATATATTTTTTTTAAATTGATAACAATGATAAATTTATATAATAAGTTTTATCGATAGTTTTGATTTGGATTTGCAGCTACTTGAAATATATGGGTTTAAAATTTAAGGAAGAATTGAATTGGAAAATGAAAAAAATTCTTTAACATAATTGCATAATCTTATAAATACTATTCTTATATAGACTTTACATACATAGATAGGTAATCTTCAGATATTCAGAATATTAGGTGGATAAATTTAGAAGTTAAATTCTTTTTTTACACACATGAAAAAAATGTGTTTCTATTATGAATAAATTGACGTAAAAAATTGTTTTCCAATGTATTTTTTTTTCGAACATATTGCAAAAAACATATTTTTCCATTAATAATAATTGAAAAGGGAATTTTTTGTATACAGTTTAAAAAAATTTAGTCACGAAAGAATTAAGAAATTCATATTTTCACAAGCATCGTATTATTAAATAAGATAAGTTTAACAGTGGATGCTAAATAGGTAGATAGATTTTGCAATTTTTTTTTTTACAAACTATGAAGAATAATTTATAACTTATAATTATTATTTATAACTTATTTCCGTCAATTGTTACTACAACAACTATTAGATTTCATCACTCTCTAAATACAGGAACAAAGGCAACTAAATATTTTTCCAAACGTAAACAGCATATTTAACAACATTTTTGACATCTGTATTGTACGGTATCCACGAGTAAAGAATCCTAACGAAACAATTAATTAAAATTCTACCATACGAAGAGTTCCTCTAATGATATAATAGAAATGCTAATTAACATTCAGAGAGATCGAATATTGAATATTTATCAAGTGACGAGGGTAAAGTAATCACTGTGGGTACATTAACTTTGCGAACTCTTGCTCTTGCTCTTACCATGTGCAACAAGCAAGGAAATGAATTTATCAAAATTACGATTCATAATGATCAGTATCTTATGCCTATAGTGGGTATTCTGCCTGATTGAATAAAAGAAGTTACGCATGACTGGAGCAACTCTTTATATTGTTGCACGTGTCATGCAAATGTCACATAAATTCCTTTCACTTTTTTCATCGTTGAAACAGGTATTCCCATTTTTTCTTGATTGCGTATGTTTATATTAAAGAACGAATATTTTCTCTGAAAACCATGCAATAAATGATTAAGGAAGATGTTTATAGGCAAGATTTTTCCTTATTGGATTTAATATAACTAGATAAATATCTATCTAGTTATCTAATAATCGGAAGCAAATTAATTAGGTTTTATTGACTCTTTGAAAGTCGATTTTATGCCTTTTGTAAATTATCCTTATACGTTTCAAGATGATTTCTCGTGCAAGGTGAATTAAAGAAAAAAATAAAATTTGTTCGTTTCGAGGTTTGTTTCGTTTTGCAGTAAACTAAATTTGGCTAATTTTTGATGAAATGCAAATGAATTGTCCATATAAAAAATAAACGAGAAATGTAAGATAAAATTTTAATTGAAATTGAAAATTATATATAAATAATTATCTATGTTCAATGATTTTTTTCAATGGGAAAATTTTATTCTACATTTTTTCCTATTTTCATATAAATAACAATTTATCAATAATTTATTTGCTTTGGAAATTATCAAATTTGATTTTCTAAAAAACGAAGTTTTATAGAAATGTTATTTTTTTATCAATTCATATGGAAAATTATTCTGTGACAATCTATATTCTTAATTAGAATTAAGTTATTCTAAAATTTCTTTTTTTCTCTTTTTTTTCCTATTTCTTAACTTATAATTAACATAACAAAAAAATATTTCTTATCTCTTTTATTTATTCAAAGAAAACTTTAAGTATCCGTCACTAGAGAGGCTAAGGGAACATCTTCTACAGAGATCCTGTATTTTTCCGGAGCTTTCATAACTTTATTCTTCTAAAACAATAACCGAAGTGAATCATACTTATACATATTTCAATAATGTATTTAAAAAAACCATTTAAAAAAACCAGTTCTTTTATACAGAATCATCGGGTCAAATTGATTATTCTATTTGTATTTTAATTAAAACAAAATAATCTACGACAGTCAATCAATAGTCATCATAATCTATATACCATAAAATATTTAATCAATTTTATAAAATGATCCAGAACATTTGAAAAATTAAAGAGAAACTGGATCGAATGTTCCAATACCAAAAACTAAACCATGCCTTTTTCTCAAACAATTACAAAACAATTTAAAGAACAGAATCTAACAATTCTCATCGGTTCCAAACAAAAAGATACAATAATAATCTCGAACAAATTTGACAACCGCCAACAGTACCAACCTTGAAACGGATATCCACCGAAAATGGGCCTCATTCCGCTGGTAACGTCCATCTTTCCCTCGTGTCGAACAATCCTCTACACTCCAGCGTTGCCGACTTATCTTCCTTACTTCTTTGTCACTTACTTCGATCCTCACCCGCGAGACGAAACACAAACTATCCGTTTTCACTAACCGCGAAACCGTGCGTGCTACCAGACAGGCAGAAGCACGAGGGCCGTCACCGTTGTTGGCCCGAGGCAAAACGACTGCTTGGACGAAACGGCGGAGGTGGAGGACGAGGAGGAGGACAGACGGGGCACATCGGCCGCTCGCGATGGGGGCAGGGCACGCGCGCGTCAAGATGAAAGGGAACGACGCTCGACACTAGCGCCGGGCTGTGTTGCTTAGGGTGGAAAGGGGGAGGGTGGAAAATGGATGGAAAAACTGGCTCAGCCAAAGGGGGTGATCGTCGACGAATAAGGAAGAAAAGGAACAAGCAGGCTGCACGCGTGGCTTTCGTTACAAGAGGTACCGCTGCAATAACGTGTCAGTTGTGGGGCCACCGGTCCCCTCGTGTCCCTTCAACTGCCTTCCAGAGAGCAATGGGTGGCTCTCTCTTTCTCTTTCTGTTTCCCCCCCGCGGAAAAAGGGGGACTATCGACTCGTTGGGACTGACGGGGGCTCCCAGTGGGGTCCTATCGGTCGGCCACGCCCTTCCTCCTTCATTGGCAAGTCGACGCTTCGCAGTGGGCGTTGCACGTTGGGGACACGCCCACCGGTACTTGGTTCGACGTTCACTGGGTATTCGATCGGCGGGCTTTTCGTTTTTGCGATTGAACGGAGGTTTGGGAGTTTGGTTTTGGGGTAAAGGGATGTCCGTTTGGTGTACGAGGGAGTGGAAATAAAAGTAACGTGGTGGAGTAATGAAATTCGATGGTGATTTTTGGTATTTTTGGTTTGTGGCGCGTTTGGATGTGGCTTTGCAAGATTTTTTGATTGAATGGGAGTGTTTTGGGATACAGGGATGTTTCGTTGGTGATGGTTATGAAGCCTGTAAGAGGAAAAAGTATGGTGTAGTGATTGAATCAATAGAATTTGATATACGAATATGTTTATTTGATATTATATTGGATTTGATTTTGGAGAATTTTGTTTATATATAGAAAATTTTCATTTATTAATATTCTTTTGAGGTATAACCTCTTGGATAAAGATTTCCTAATCTCTTTTTTGTATTACTTCCCATCTTGACGCCTTAAACATTTTAATTTCTTCTAGAACAAATAATAGTCTATTGTTTCTTGACTATATCAGTGATGAAGTGACGCATGCAACATAATTTTTTAATTGCCCACCAAAATATTCATATTGTCCCCTTGTGGAGCATACTGGATAATAAAATTCGTAAACTTGCCTTCCGTTCTAAAATTATCTAATCCAATTTAATTTTACGTTACTCTAATAAATTTTCCTGAGAAATTATTTTTCTACCTTTCAAAACAATTCTGAAAATAGGTTTGCGAATCTTTAGATGATGTTATTCTTAATTTCATTAACGTCATCAAAGAAACCCTTTTTGAAGCTAACAAAATAATTATATCCAGCGATAACTTTATCTCATTTCCAAAGATACAGGAAATATAGAAGTTTTTGCAATATATCTTGCATCCACAGATGAATTGCGCATTATTCATTTCCATAAACTAATTATTACAAATCATCAGGTTGCATCGTAAATTCACCGTCGAGCCAGCACACCGATGTACAGCATTCACGTTGAGAAGTGTCCTTCAAGTTGCCCTTAAAGACGAGGATATTACGCGCGTTCCCTTATTCCACAGGACCTCCCGCTGCCTGTCTGTTTCGCTACCGTGCAGAAAGATTTACAGGCAGAGCAGCGGCCGTTCTCGGTGGAAAGGCCTTCGTAAAAATTTATACCGGTCCATCATACGTTCATTATGATTTTACTTCCAGACAGTGGCGGCAGTAAATATTCCCCAATTTTCGAATAAGTTTTTTCGCTGATCAATCGAACAGGATCAAAATTTGAAATTTTATTCAAGAATAAAACTTTTGAAATTCAGATTAATAAGAAGATTAATAAGAACATTTTAGAATTCTTAAATAATACAAATATATTTTCTCATGATTAATAAAAATCCTCCTCCATCAAATTCCTTTTTTTCATCAAAATAAAAATCCGAATAAAATCCATTTTAGAAACACTTGCTCAATAAAATAAAATTCCAAAAATTCCCTCTTTCAAATAATATATACAAAACGATATATATTAAAGAAGAAGAAAAAAAGAAAACACAGAAGCAACGATGAAGGAGCAAAAATGACTGGACAGATTGAAAATCTGGTTGAAAATGAGCGTGAACGAGGAAGCAACCGGCCAACGAGGGGCAAGCGAGCTTGTCATCCGCGACAATAGGGGGCAATACAAGAAAAACGGATCCTATCGATCCAACGAAATCGGCTAATCAATTTCTTCCGCGTTATAGCGTGTAGCCTGGTCCTCCTCCACTCTTTCGCCCCTTCGACCTTGGCCGCCCTGGATCTGGGAACTTTCTCCTCCTGCCGCGAATAAGAGGTCCTTCCAGGACTACCGGCACTCGACCGCAGTTCACGCCGAATTTACCGGTTCCTAGACAATGCGAAACCACCCCCGACACGGAAACATCGTTTTGTCTACGGTGCATGGACGACTGCACGGAACTAACAAGAGTTCGCAACACCTCTTCCACGGATCCGACGCACCGTCTCCGGTTTGGATAATTTCACAATGGGGGCAGATTTTTCGTGTTAAACGGCGTGCAGGTGTCAAATGGTTGAAGGAAAACGGCTCGTTTCTGCGTTCTCGATGGATGATCCTGATTTTATCTTGTTTCGTGGATTTGATGGATGTGTCGTGGATGACGGATGTTGACCACCGTTAAAGGGAGGTGGAGGAATTTTTGTTTTGTTAATAGGGGGAAAAGTGTTATTGATATTAGCAGAGGGTTGAAAATCGTGCATGTGAATGTACAATGAATTTTACTTTAAAAAAAGATTAGATTATTAGTATATCTTGATATTAATTGATTATCAATCGATCAACTTGAACTTGCGTGTTTAAATTTGTATTCAACGTTTTGAGTATCTAATAAATATCATTAATCGTATTCGTCGCAAAAAATGTAGAGTAGAAATTGAAATGAAGTGTGGATAAGGGTAGAACTAGATAAGGGTAATTCAAACTGAGTATCATCTACCTTATTGTATATTATTAGTCAAATTTTATGATTCGCAATGATAAGTAGGTAATTAAGAATGACATAACAATGACAAGTTTGTAATAAAACAAACAAATTTCTGAGTTATTTGGTAATCCTATTTGAATAAATATTTTTACCAAATTAATAGTTTTTCTACGTGAATTTAATGATGATTAACAAAGTCCATTAACTCCACTGAAAATATTACTTTCTAATGACCAACCTTAAGGTCGTTACAACCTTGTACAGCCTTCGACTTGTATTTAAGATTTCATAATAAGCATAATAACTCTTTTCATGAGGCGCTTTTGACTCTAATCTAATCATCTGAAGTTTATTTCTCATTATAATCTTTGTTTTTTTTATATTTTTTTTTCTTTAACATATAATTATATACTTATATAGTTATTAACGCAAGGAGAATTCTGATAATTCGGTATGCTACTTCGGTATGGACTTCTGCAATGAATTATCAAATATATTATAGGTATTATTGGATCTCTAATACAATTATAAAAATGTAATTTATAATAATATAATAACAAAAAATAAAAGATATGTAATATAGAATATATATATAAAAAAAAATAATAGAAATCTAATATTTAAAATAGATATTGTGACGAGATTATTTTAGAAGCGTAATATAGATATCTAATTAAAAATTCTAGATATCGATGGAAAACAAGCGATTTATCACATTTTGGCCCGTTTCATGCAAATAAAAATATAGATCCTTCTGTCACAGAGAGCGATATTCTGATTGATGAAGCGATAAAAAAAAAATCAGTAAAATATTATATTTTACTGTTTAATCTTGACAAAAAAGGTTCTTATTATTCTTTATATTTTCTGACAATTCCAAATTTTAAATTCAAGATTCAAATTCTTCAAAAAAAAGCAAAGAAGATCTATCTTCTCAATTGTACAAAAACCAATTGTACAAAAATATATCTACATTCAATTTCAATTAATATTTTCTTCTCGCCATCACAAAAGTCTTTTTCTTTTTTTTTTTTTAATTTTCCCTAAACTTATTATAAATGGATCCGCTTCGTTATTTCCACAACACCCTCACAATTTTCTAAGCATCCTCGTCGATGATAATCGGCGGCATTTCGAAGCGGCAGCCGCTAAATGGTCTTATTAAAAATTCTAATGGCGCGTTACCACGTTTCTCACCTGGTTTTAACATAACAACGAACCACCTTCCTTCTATCTCCCCGTGTTTCGTTGCGCGACTCGACAGAACGAAGAAATCCCTTCGTATCTCCTATTTTCGTCCACCGAGCACGGCCGTGGAAACAATGTGGTGTTGGAAATCGGTGTGGCCCTCGCCACAGGCGTCTTTGACAAGCAGACTGATGTCGGCGTATCACTCATCAAGATTTATCGAGACTTAGACTAATTGCCGCTTTTAATAGAAATTCGTGCGGCCTTACAGAGGGTCTACTTAGCGGTTCGACCCTTCCACGATGCCTTTTTTTCTTTCTCTCGGTTTCGGTTCTTCTTTTTTTCCCTTTTTCATTCTTTTTTTTTTTTTTTTTCTTTTTTCTTTTTTTTTTTTTTTACCAAAGTTCCAAGTCAAAATGATGGTGAGAAAAAAGCTGATTCAACGAACGATTATCACGCGAAGAGGAATCACGTGAAAAATTGGCCGACGCATCATTTAGGGAACGATGCTTCTTGTTTCGCGAGGCTTACACGGTGATTAACGCCTCGGATCCGAGGTTTCGACGAGATAAGCTTGTATATGGTCGGTTTAATAAGATGATGAGATTTTGTTTTGTGAGGTCAATTTCAGGAGCAGT